AGCCCCCCCCCCCCCCCCCGTAAACTGAGTAAAACTCAAAGTCAAAAAGGTTTAAAAAATGACTGGATATTAGGTTGAGAGGTCAAACTGCGGTCTTATGAAAGCACTGAGACTATTCATTTCTTAAAGCAAAACCAAACCTCAAAACAGTCTTTTGTTGCTAGATGAATGTTTCTGAATAGCTACACTCGGCTGCCCAGAACTGCTGTATTAGAGCTGTAGAATGCTTGAATTCCAAAATCCTCTTGGATCCCAATTGAAGAAGTCACAACAGAAGCTGCCAACAGTCTCTGCAAAGCCATGGGAAACCTCTTCCTCAGAGCAGACACCTCTCTCCAGAGCTAATGCTGAACTGTGGCCCATAGCAAGGCAGCTCTGTACACTTGGACAGATTCCCCCCAAAGGCAGTTGCCAACATCCACTCTTTCAAACAACTTAAAGAAGCTCCCTCCTTTCTTTTCATGTAGGGCCACCAGAAAAGGAGAGGGTCATGAAGCCCATAATCACCAAACAGTTAAGAACACAAGAACTGCTATTTCTGGGGTCAGTATCCTGTGTCACACAGTGGCAGAGTGAAGGCTGAAAGCGAGAGTAAGTGGCATGACCAAGGTTTTTCCAAGCTTCCTCTCACTTGCAATTTCCATCATTTAAGGTCTAGGAAGTCCTGATTCAGAGGCTGCACCCCAAACTCCTATGTTCAATAGCAACTGATACACCTTCCCTCCAAAAATATGTCCAATCCCTTTTTGATTCTGGTTGAACTGTCAGCTTCCACATCGTTGGCTACCAGTTCTACACTTTAATTACATGCTATGTGAAAAAACTTCCTTTTGTTAGTTTTATACCATCTGTTATTTTCATTTTATGACCCCTAGTTCATGTACTGTGAAATAGTAAATAATAAATCCTTACTTATTTTCTCTTCATCATTTAGTATTTTGTAAACCCTTATCATGTCTCCCCTCAAGTGCCTCTTTTTCTAAACTGAATAGGCCTAGCTTCTTCAGTCCCTCCTCATATGGAAGCCCCTCCATACCACTGATCATGCTTGTTGCCATTCTCTGGACCTTCTCTAGTTCTTCTAGATCTCTCTTGAGGTACGGGGACCAGAACTAAGCACAGAATTCAAGGTGTCTACACACCATGGATTTATAAAGGGACATAGTGATAATATTTGTTCAGAATTCCCTTAATAATTCTTAGTATTTTGTTTGCCTTTTTGATGGCTGCTGAGTATTGAGCTGATGGGTTTTTTTGGCAAACTATCTGCAGTGACTCCCAGATCTCTTCCCTGTGCACTAAGAAATGTAGAGCCTACCACAGTGTAAGAGCAGTATGGGTTATTTTTGCCCATGTGCACCACTTGACAATTATTTATACTGAATTTCATCTGCTATTTAGTTGCCTATTCACTCAATAGTGCAAAATCCTTCTCTAGTTCTTCAGTCTGCCTTGGTGTTTACCACTTCGAATAATTTTCTGTTGTCTGCAAATTTGGCCGCCTCACTACTCACCCCGTTTTCTAAATCAGCAGTGCTGGTCCCAACAAAGATCCCTGGGGGACCCCACTGTTAACGTCTTTCCATACTGAAAACTGACTATTTATATTCACTCTTTTGTTTTCTATCCTTAACCCAACTTCTGATCCGTGAGTGGACCTTCCCTGTAATCCCATGCCTAACTTCATTAAGAGCCTCTGATGGGGAACTTACAAAAGGCTTTTGGAAGTTCAGATGTACTGTGTCAACCAGGTCACCTTGATCCACCAGCCTGTAGTTTCCTGAGTGCCCTCTAGAGCCATTTTAAATATTGGAGCTGCACTGAAAAACTTCCAGTCCTCTGGTGCTGAGGCTGTTTTCAGTAATAGGTTGTATACTATAGTTAAGAGTTCGGCAGTTTCCGAGCTGATCTCCTGCAGGAGCCTAGAGCAGTGGTGCCCAACCTTTTTGTCCAGCAGGACAAATGAGCAGTGCCTGGTCTGTCCATAGGCTGGATCCAACTGGTGGTCCCAATCTGAGGTCAAGGGGAGCATGGCCCATGTGGGTAGATGAGGCCGCATCCCCCTTGGACCTCAGATTTGGGGGGAGGAAGGGAAAAGGGGAATTTGGAAGCAGGGGAGAAGCAGCAATAGTGCCACTGCTCCCCTGCTGCCAAATTTCCTGACCCATGGGGAGTCCCACAAGCTAGGTCATATGGTTTAGTGGGCCACATCTGGCCTGCAGGTCAAAGATTGAACACCCCTGCCCTAGAGGGAATGCCATCAGGTCCTGGTAATTTGTTGCAGTATGGTTTATCCATGTCCTCTGAGACCTTGTCTGCTGACACCTCAGTTTGGGTCAGCTCCACAGACTTGTCCCTCAAGAGGAATGGATCTGGTGAGGGAATCTTCTTATCATTTTCTACAGCAAAAACAAATGCAAAGAACGCATTTAGTTTCTCAGCAGTGGCCCTGTTATCCTGTCATTCCTTTTGCATGCTCTGTAGCAGGTCATCTGCTTCTAATATACTTAAAGGAATTTTTAGTGTTACCTTCTATGTCTGTAGCAAGTTTCTCTTCAAATTCTGTCTTAGCTTTTCTTACTACAGATTATTTGATTTGCCAGAATTTATTCCTTTTTTTTTTTTTTTTAAACTTTCCTCATTAGGATTTGACTTCCACCTTGTGAAAGAAGCATTGTTTCTATTTAATGCCTCTGCAGCTCTGCCATGAAAGCCAGCATGGTTTTATTTTGGTTTGCTTTCCTTTTGACTTGCACTATACATTTACCCTGTGCCAGTTAGGGCCTTACCTAAAAAGCAAAAGACCCAGGTTTAAAATCTTGTCTCTTACCTCCCACACTATAAACTATTTTAGGTGGGATGTTCTTTACCCACTGTGTTCAAGCTGGGGCCCTGCCCAACTCAAAAAATAAAATGAAGATGAATAAGATTCAATTACAGAACAGGATTTAATGTTCACAGGACCACAGAGATCACCAGAGGGAGCATGACTAGTCTTCATGGTTCGGACATTCATATAGTAGGGGAACCTCCTGGGTTACAGGTCCTACTCTCAAAATTGTTTCTGTGTTGTATCTACTGGCTTTTGAATATAAATTACAAAACCAGTCCTTTGAGCAAACTCTAACCTACAATACCTCCCATCTAAGTGACCTAGCCACTAAGCTACAGGGTCCAATTCCCTCTGGTGCTCTTTGTGAACCCCCTTTTTTTGATTCCTTGCTGCAAAGTGGCCTACCTTCCGTGGGAGGGTGAAGGATACCAGTAGAGGTACACCAATATATTGGTCCCTTTCAGATTGGCACTGATAAAAGCTAAATTGACATTACTGACAGTTGGCTATTTTTGGTCGGTATAGCCAATACTGTCATTGATAAATGCCATGTGCACACGCACAACCATAGCATGCACGTGACCAGAAATGCAGCCTGGCAGCTTAGAGAGCAGCATTCGGCTAGTAAGTTTGTAGGGGGGAAGAGCCATGGGGAGGGGAAGGGGAGCGGTGATCGAGGCTCTCACAGTGAGAGAGGGAGTGGGACAGGCAGGTACTGCCCAAGCAGGGTAGGGCATGGGATGGAGCCACAGGCAGCTCATCTGGGGGCTGGAGAGGGAGGACAGCTCCCTGCTGCTGCACACACCCATTGGAGGGGCATGGGGGAGCATGTGCCCTCCAGATTTGTGCATTGGGCAAAGGTGGGCTGCCTGCTGTGGGCTCAGGCGCTGGGCTGGGGCTACGCGCAGGGCAGGGCAGGCGGCAGTGGCACTGCGAGGGGTGGCTACAGGGTGGGCTACAACCACCCAAAAATTCCCTGTAGCACCCCCGCCCACCTCTAGCACAGCCCCAGCCCTGTCCCTTTGTCAGGAAGAGGCCAGCGCAGCCTGCCCTCGCTGCACACAGATTCGAGGGAGGGAGTGGGGGGCACATAACCCCCATCCTTCCTGCAGGGATATGCGCAGTGGCTGGGAGCCGCCCAGTCGCGTTCCTTGGATGAGCCGCCTGAGACTCTATCCCATGCCCCACCCTGCCTAGACAGCACCTGCTTCTGCCCCAGCCCCATTCTCACCCTCACCATGGGGGCCTCTATCTGCACCCCTCCCCGCTGCCACAGACTTACTGGCAAACACTGCTCTCTAAGCTGCCGGGCTGCATACTGGCAATCGGATCAGTATCGGCTGATATGGCTGGTTAATAATTGGCCATCGGTATCAGCCAAAAAAATGTATCAGTGCACCCCAACCACCCAGAATAGCTAGGATTCTCTGCTGGGAGGCTGGAGATGCAAGTTTGAATCTCATCAGGCAGAGCAACAGATCGAAACCAGGCTTCTCATTTCCTAGATGAGTGTTCTTAACCCTTAAGTTATTATGCAGAGGTGGGCATCACCACTATCTTTTTCTCTTCCTGAGGAAAGCCTGTTTTAAAAAGAAATGGATGCAACTGTATTTTGTTACATCCTGCTGGTATGTTAGGTATGTTCTGAGAGTGCCTAGCAGATTGGAACCGTCATGGATGTAGGTGGAAGAATACAGAATTTTTTTAATTGTGAGCAAACTTCATCTTGTGCTACGTGCTGAGCTCTACAGACTGGGGCAGCTCTGGCCACACACAAAAGCTGAAATATGAGCTAGATTTTTCTTTAGCTAGAGCATTTATTTTTTTTTTAACTGCAGTTTTGAACTTGACTGCCTCAATTATACTAAAGCCCTGTTTTCAGAACCCAACTTCTTTACTGAAGTCCAAGATCCACTGGATCCAGCAACCAAAATCCAGTGGTCTGAATCACAGTATGTGTGACCTGAAATACCTGACCCACAGTCACTGTCACAGGCTGAGAGAAGCCGGGGCTGGTGTTACTCTACCTGACTCTGGCTCTCGGAGGTGCCTAGGCCTCCGTGCAATCACAAAGTCCTTGTCCTTCTCTTTTACTTTCTGCCGTTTCTGAGGAGGAGAGAGGGATATGAGTAGATCCTGTGGGGTGTTTTCACTTCCCAGATGCTCCTTCTTAAGGACAGACACGCCCATGCCCGAAAGTAGCTCTGATGTCTTGGTAGGATCCCATGCCCACGTGAAACTTGTGAAAACATTGCTGCTCGAAGCTGGGATTTCCTTGAGATGTCTCCTGCAAGAAGACAATAGGTTACCCTCAGAAAAATGACAATGGCCAATATGCCTAACCCTAAACATCATACTAAAGAGAATGCAGATAGACCAGAAAGAATGGTCAAGGCAATTCCAGCTACAACCCCTACAATAATCCAATGCCTCAATGAAAAACAAAAATATGATTTAGTAATAATACTTTTTTATTTCTATAGCACCCACAAAACTCACAGAGCTTTACAAACATCTACAGCACCTCAAATTGTAGATCCCCATAGAGAGTAATTGGGGACCAATTCTTGTCAATACATTGAGAAGAAAATGGGTCAAATGCATGCAAACTTAACAGCAGGGAGAAAGCAATGAAGAGAAGCAAAGAAGAGAAGTAATCAAAAAATCAGGCAACATTTTGTTTTTGATTTAGCTGCAAAATAAATTTAAAAAAAGGAATTTTGAAGAGTGGTGTCACAGTGACAGGGCTATAAGCAAAAGCATCACAGCATGCCTGGTGGTCACAGACAGAACACAGCACTTTACCATTGAGGTCAGGAAAGCCATCAGGTGCAGCTGAGAAACAAGGACTGTTTGATAGAGGTGTACCAATATATCGGTTGTGTATCAGATCAGCACCGTTAAAAGGAAAATGAACATTATCAACATTTTTTTACAAGCCAAGGTGACCCCAAATATACCCCCATTCGCTCGCCGGTGGGCCAGGCTGGGCTGGAGTGGAGCAGCTGCCACAGCATCCTTGGTGCTGGTGCAGCATGGACTGCGAGCTGGGGCCGGGGCAGGTGTTATAAAAGGCACCAAAAGCTGGAGACATGACTGGGGCGGGAAGGGGCCAGCAAAGTTGAGCTGTCTACTTTGGCAGAGTGTGACTCAACTTGTGGTACCTGGGGGGCTGTGGCCAGGGGCAGAGCCTGGCAGGGGCCGGGGAAGCCTCCACTGCATGCAACAGGGTCCTTCCTCCGATGGGAAGGAAGCCTCCAGGAGTAGAAGAGCAGCACTTTAATTAGAGCAGCTCTGAGAGCCGGCCCAAGAGCTGCCAACCCCTCCCCATCCCAGCTGGCAAAGCAAATAAAACTCTGGCTTGCATCTATCAATGCATCTCAAGCAAGAACCAACAAGTCATCCTCCCGCTTTACTTGGGCTTGGTGAGGCTGTGGCTGGAGAGTCCAGAGGAGAGCCACACGCATGAATAGAGGTCAAGAGAACAGGCCTCATGAGAAGAGGCTGAGAGGCATGGGACTCTTTGGCCTGGAGAAGCAAAGGCTTAGGGGTGACTTGGTGGCAGCCTGTAAGTATATAAGGGGTGCACATCCGAAACTGGAAGAATGTCTCTTCACCAGGGCATCCCAAGGGAAGACAAGGTCTAACCGTCACAAACTACTGGAAAACTGTTTTGGACTGGACAGAAGTAAAAACTTTCTTACCGTCCAAGTCTTCAGAATCTGGAATAGACTCCCCCAAGAATAGTGCAAGCACCTACTCTGGACATGTTCAAGAAACACCTGGATGCTCACCTTGCTGGGGTCATCTGACCCAGCTGACTTTCCTGCCCTTTGGGCAGAGGGCTGCACCCGATGATCTCATGAGGTCCCTTCCCGCCCTAACGTTTATGAGATTAAAGTGCCCAGAGACCACCCAGCAACTTCATGCTCAGGCAGTTGCCCCTAGACTGGGGTTGAAGGACAAGGGCTGCAAATGGTATGGGGCACTTTTACATGTGCTCCAGAAGGGGTGGGGGCAGTGCCTTAATTCGAACAGCTCCAAGTGCCGCTCTAATTAAAGTTATGCCATATCTCCTGTATCAGCATCTCCACACTTAGAAATGGTGGTGGGGGTGCTTGAACTAAAACTCGTTCAGCGAGCTATTATTACTAAATATCAGTTATTAGATCCGTATCGGCTGATATGCCTTGTTAATAATTGGCTTCTGGTATCAGCCAAGAAAATCTTTATCAGTGCACCCCTACTGACTAAAGAGGAAAGACCCATCACTTACTCTAGTGCATGGGGAGGAGAGCTAAAAACAGTGGGGGTAAATGAAGAAATGAAAGAACCATGCTGAAATTCAGCTAAGTTTTCTCTCTCTACATATTACAACTGTTTGCCAGAGGAAGCAATGGAAATATTGGTCAGGAATCCTAAAATGAGACAGCAAAAAATTCAGTCTCTTCACCTGCCTGTGTCCACTCTGAGCAATTTAAATCTATGGCTGTTCATAGGGTCCAGTTTGACCATCTGCACCAAGCCCTGTTCACTGTGCGTTATTAAAACCAGTGTGCATGCTGAGCTAGGAGAAATCAAGTAGGTCCACAACGGTCTGCTGGCCCCAAACGTTTGGAAAATACTAGGCTGCTGGGAGTTGAATATAGGAGTTGACACAGATCACTGTCCTAGCGATCTTTAGTCTTAATTTATCATTGAATGGTGGTAAATACTAGCTATCTCCTAGGAGCGAGCCGGACAGCGCAGCAACAGGAGCAAATGGCTGGAATGACCTGGGTTGTAATCCCAAGTGAGGTGGGGCTTCCCACGCCGTGCTCCGCTTCCGGGCCAGCCCCACGGGGGGGCCAAGGAGCCAGTTACCGCGCGCTCTGCCCCTGCGGGTAGCAGAGACGTCCGCACACACATGTACACGCACACACACATGCATGCACATATACATATGCATGCATGCCAACGCGTGTTGCCTAAAGGATCAAAGACGACGCAGACAGATGTGCACTGAGCGCACGCTGGGGAACGACCCGAAGGTCCTTCCGTTCTCACCTGTGCATGGTGCCCCGCAGCAGATGCACGCGCGGAAGGACTCGGGGTGTCCGCGCGCCACCGCCCCGTTCCCGCGCTCGGCCGCCCACCCCACCCCCGGGCAACGTTCGATCCCGCCGCGCGCGCTGGGACGGAAGCGGCCGCGAGGCCTACTGGGACTTGGAGTTCCGCCGCGGCCGCGAGGCCTGCTGGGAGTGAGAGGCTGCGCAGAGGCCGCGCGGCCCGCTGGGAGTGGGAGTTCGAGGCTGGACTCCCGGCAGGCCTTGCGGCGGTGACGTGCGGGTCGGCGAGCGGCGATGTCCGCAGTGCCGGCGCCGGCTGCGCCAGACGTGGGGTGACGCGGAAGCAGCGCGGCCGGGCCAGGGCATGGAGCGGGCTGCCGCGCCCAGCGACAACAGGTGAGCTCGGCTCGGCGGGGGGTCGCATCCGGGGTCTCCACCCTGCCCGCCCTGGCGGCATCGGGGGTACACACAGGTGTGGTGCTGGGGGGGTGGGGTACACACGGCTGTGGTGCTGGGGGCGGGGGAAGATGCACGCGG